AAGAAGAAGAAGAAGAAGAAGAAGAAGAAGAAGAAGAAGAAGAAGAAGAAGAAAGAAGAAGAAGAAGAAGAAGAAGAAGAAGAAGAAGAAGAAGAAAATACTTTCTTAAGCGTCCCGCACTCCCGTGCAATACAGCATTAAGTACTTTACAGCACCTTCAACTCAACAGAAAAAGCATGTGCATGAATGTGCATACATACCCTCTTTAGAATAAACCTAACGCATAAGCAGACATACATGTACTATAAAAATACAATCAATGACGTAGGCATATTACATAATGAACATGAGGGAACTACTTTCTTTGACATATTCATAATATATCAGTCCAGTTGGGCTGTGTCATTATACTATGATGTAGAACAAATGCAAGAGGGGAAGTGGGGAGTGGTCGTTTGTACAGGTGATTGTCCTGGAAAGATGGTTGTTAGAGCAGATTGGACTTATTGTACAGGCACACACACTAACACACATGCGTGTATGAATACACAGCTCACCTCCGCTCTCTGTTTCTCCACAATGCTGGTCACTTGTCCCAGAAGGTCGTCCAGTTTCGTCTCTGTGGCGTCTTTGCCCATCGAGGCTAGGGACAGGGCGCGATCCAGGGGGAAGAAATCATAGTTCTCTTTGCCCAGCTGCGTCAGTCATAGGCGAGGAAAAAAATACTGAGTGTTAGTGTACATGTTTAACATCTCTATGAACACAGTGAGATTATTCAAGAGGCGGGACCTCATTGGCTTTACTGGGAAAAACTGTGAAATGGTATAGGTTTAACGCCACTATCAACACTATTACTATTATGTTATTTAAGAGGTGGGACCTCCGAGTTAAAGCGTTTCTCAGAAAGGACCGATCCAAGTGGGAAATTCGTGTCCCAAGAACACAACATCGGACCAAACTGAGGGTCGAACCCCCCAACCCAATATCTCACGATTGCCTAACCGCTTGGCTACCGACGCCGCGCTTTTCCCTTTCGTCAACCCGCAGCCACTTCCCGAATCGTCAGCCACATACCAAACTTTGACTCGGGTCAAACTTGCATCTATTTATAGGTAGTTACCGGAACATGTATAGGTGAAGTGATGTGCCGTGATAGTCGCAATATATTATTTATAGAGATTGTTTTGGTCTCTCTTTACTCATCACCACGAGAATTTTTTGAAGTTTTTCCCAGGACTCAGCCTTTACTATAATCTCGAATCTCGATCTCGATCTCGATCTAAAGTTGTAATCTAGTGGCAGG